CCTGGCAGGTACTATACTCACGAAAGCTGTCCAACTTTGGGATAACAGGGGGTCTCCTGATCTGGAATGAAGATTTCCTGGGAGACAAAAAGTTGCTGCAGATAGCTGCTGTTCAGAGTGGGCACCTGTCAAAAGTGGAGTTCTACAAGGGTCAGTTCTTGGGCCACTCTCTTTCATCATCTACGTCAATGACATCGTGCGAGACGTTAAATCTGACGTAATACTCTTTGCAGATGATATAAAGCGGTAAAGGGTGATATAAGACGAAAGGGACACCCAAGTAATGCAAGAGGATGTAGACCAGCAAAAGTTGGTGTATGAAATTCAACCCCAAAAATGTGTAGTAACGCACATGTTATCAGCAAGGCGCCGCAGAAATGCACTCTTGCGACAGTATATTTTGGGAGACAAACCACTTGAAACCATGAGTGTGCAAAGAGACCTTAGTGTAGTTATTAAAGACGACCTGACTGTGACCACACAGTGTTCCAAAGTTGCAACGAGAGCAATGCCGGCCATGAGTGCCTTACGAAGAACGTTTGTTAATCTGAATGCAGATATCTTCAGAAAAGTATATGGAAACTCGTGCGGCCGCATCTGAAATATGCGATACTAGCTTCAGAAAGACATAGGGCTTCTTGAAGGTATTCAACGACGTGCTACTAAGGCGGTCCCTGAACTAAAGCAGTTCACATACGAACAGCGTTTGACTGCTTTAAATCTTTTTCCCCTCCATTATAGACAAGACAGAAGGGACCTTTTAGCAACGTTTAAGTTACTAAGGGAACTGTTCTAGATATCAAGTGGGAAGATCTCTTTCAAATGGTCCCAAGAAGGGACCTCAGGAGACATGATTGTCAGTTGAAGAAGGAACTGAGCCGCACAAACCAAATATCATCATTCTTCTCTCAAAATGTCCTTCGACAGTGGAACGCCTTGCCAGGGTCAGTTGTGCATTCACCTACTGTGAACGTGTTCAAGAGACGTCTGGATAATCATCTGCTAAAGGCCAATGCAAACATTCAAACACTCACCTAGCATAAATGATTGTAAAGCATACTACTCGCTTGATTTCAATAACGCTTTTATTTTCACTAAAGGTGTCCAGACGAATATTCCACAGTGGATATACAGCGAACGTTCCGTACGCTGCCATTCCGCAAACGCCCCACCTTGCCAACCATTCATGCTTCCTAAATATTTTTATGCAGTTTTGCATAATAAAAGCGATCTGTAACAATGCTTGCAAGTTTCACTACACTTTATGCATTCCTGTGCCGTTTTAATGGAGTTTTTAAGGGCTTCGGTCATTTACTCCAAATATACTGACTGATCAGTAATGTGGAATCCAGCAAAATTTGTCCTGTCCTCGGCCTGGTTGGTCACCTGGCAATCCATCGCACAGAGACCAGCGAACCAGTCTCTGGAACACCAACATAAATCCACCTCATCCTACGCAATTGCCCACATCGCCTAGGCCTATCTGTCTACAGGTAAATCCATGGCAACGAAATTCACCACATAATACTGGGAGGCAAAGCATGAATACATGGGGTAGTGAAAATGCACGAATATATCACTGTTCCGGACTGTCTGCAATGCGGAGTCAAAATAATGAGAAGCAGCAGCGTTCGTCATGTCTGTAGCACAAAAAACGTCGTCAGTGAGTGACTGCAATTGCCCACAAGATTGGGCAGGTGGTTTTCGTGAAAACAGTGCAACTGCCACCCCAAGTAATTGCACCCTTTTTCCAGCTGGTGTCGGGTGTAATTGTCTCACATATAAGGTAACCAGCTATTTTGGGTGTTCTGGGTTTAAATTGAGGTCTTTGAAACCAGGACCTTCTACGCAGCTGAGGGCCCTCTGCTGTGCCGAGCCCCGTCATACAGGCATTGGAGTCTCCGTTGGGACAACATTTATGCCATTGTAAATCACTTTATTTAGGAAAATGGGCTTTGTCCGCACAGATGCATGGTACACGCGGACCTTTCTGGAGATATAAATATCGCGTTGGGTCCATAGGCACTTTCGAAGGCTGGAGAAAACTCGTGCTGCGTCACTTCGGGAGACAATATCACATTTAATCTCCCCATTCGGCAGCAACCTCACTCTGAGGTATTTGGAACTGTCTGCTTCTTCAAGTAGACAGTGACTAAGCTCGAGAGGTGCCTTCTCTTTGGCAGGGATGCAGCGTGAAAACACTTCGGTCTTCCCAGCGTTTATGGACAAACCGACCGATTTCAAGACCTCGTTCACCCTTCACACCGTAGACTGTAGATCACCAAAGCTTTAAGCTAGTTAAGTGATATCATGGGCATAGTCGAGGTCAGTCAACCGACGCTCGAGTGTAAGCTCAATACCATCATTATCCTGTAGGGCCTTTCCGAGGACCTAGTCAATGGCGTAGTTAAAGAGGATGGGCGACGGGACACAGCCCTGTCGAACGCCAGACCGAATAGCGAAGGGTTCTGAGAGGTTGTTGTGGAGTAGAACCCGCGCAGTGATGGAGCGGTAGTATGCCTTGATCAGGGCAATAGTTTTTGATGCTACACCATCGAATGTCATTATCTGCCATAAGGAGTCACGAACCAGGCTATTTGAAGAGTTAGTGGTTACCATTAATTAGCTTCACGTACTGGTAGACTATACGGCCATTAAGAGAGCCAATCACTACCAGGAGGTATTGAAGAGGACCTGTGGATTTCACAACGGAAAAGGCCATAGGTATGAAGTGGTTGGGACGAACCACCAGATCCTGTTCATACGATCACTATAGCGGTCTGAGCCCATACGCCGATGAAACTGAGACTCGATTGGCAGCTAAACTGGAGGTCAAAAACCCGAGAAACATCAGACAATCCAAACGATAGAACAAGACGCAATAACATAACTTCGGTCAAGGAGCATTCACAACTGCACTGGACTTAAGGGCGAGTGAAGGGCGTGGCTGAAGCACAAACAAGAAGAGATAACGGAAGGTGCTGACAACTAAGCATTGAGGACTTTCTGCGTAATTAAGCCAAAAAAGCGAACACATACTACAGGCATAGGAACGTAAGCCCGAGCACGAGGGCAAGAAGTCGTAGCGGCAAGTAACCAAAACGTCATGGCTGAAAATGTTGAAAAAGATGCGTTAACCCTGCAAACTGGCGCAATAGCTTTCGAAAAATGCCAAATGGTCGAACGGAGAAGCAACAGTTGTTTCCAAAGACAGCTCGAGAGAAAATATTTATCTTGAAAAATAAAAAATAAAAAAGAAGAAGGAAAAAACAACAAGTCTCAGGTGAAAATGCCACGCTCCACCTGCTCACATATTTTCTTGACCTTTTCGTTAAAAAACTCGAAGTTAAATGGCTGGTTCTGCGAATAGAAAGGGTTTTTCAATACATAGTCAGTATAAGCTGAATACACTAATTTTAAAGCGTCTCGTGCATTGGCGGGTATCCGGTGATCGGTGACAAGGAGGAATTTTGCTCCAGTTATGGATTCGTAACAGTGTAGACGACACTCAGGGGTTTCCAGGGTCTGAATGCCAGAGCCGTTTGAGCCTGGCCGGCTTTTGTCATCGAGCTTCGATAACGCCGTAACGGGCGTCAGGATTCGTGACATCTGGTGAATAGCCTGGAACATGCTAGCCAAGGTGATGCGATCATTGGGGCTGAGTGGTGGGAGACCGAAGTTGATTTTGATTGGAAAATTTGACGGATTTGAGAAAACCTATAAAAGGAGATGGTGTGTGGGAG